AGACCTAGACCCTTCAAATACATGATCTCACTCACTATTCATAAGGGAGTGATTTTAGTTGTCTCTATTTATTTGTATAGGAAACAGGTTCATTGAGATGATAACAGGTGTCCAGGATCTCAGTAGTAGGAAATCAAAACATTTAGATTGCAATCCAGTCCTGTCAGACCCCAAAGCATCACCTCTATCCAATTCTCTTAACCCCTTTCTTACCCCACATCCAAAAGAGTATTGGCATTCTCCTATAAACTAGCATGGTGATTAAAATAGGACTTTGGAGGCAGACAAGTCTATGAAGACTGGCTATATCCCTAACTATATAAGTGAGTTGAAATAGTTCCTTTAACCTGTCCAAGAATTAGTTTCTTCTTATTAAAATTCAAAAATGTTATTAAATAAAACACTGTACAAAGATCTTAGCACCATGGCTGGTATACAAGTGTTCAGCAGATAGTAGGTGTTATTTTACTAATACTTGATATATGAATTGGAGCAAATTTGAAACATCAGTGACTGAAACAAGAAGGTGTTCCCTTAACTGAAAGGAAAGGTTGAGGCCAAGGCTGTTTTAGTTTGGCAAATTAAAGCAAAGCCAAATCATATGGTAGAAAGATCTTTTGGCCCAGTACGGCATGGGAGTGTCAGCCTGGGGGAAGCCAAAGAGGAGAATTAGGTGGCAATTCATAAACACCACTTTATCCAAAGAGCACTAAGCCAAGAGATTATGTCTAGAGGGTTAAGCTAATTTTTGGAGCTTTTCAAGAAAGAGTTGAAAACATAATTCAAGAAAAAGAAAAGAGGCTTTGGTGGTAAGAGGACAAGAGAAATGGGTACAAAAACTGGAATGTTTTTAGCCCAAGAGAGAAAGGTATGAGAACCTACTTACCATTTATATTCTGTATGGGAAATGAAGTTCTAGACTTCCAAGAGCTGGTTTGTAGACTTTATTATTTCAAAATAAACTCTGTTCTGAAGTAGATTCTGCCTGTTCTGTTTTCCTATTTGTTGTGGGTTTATACTCCTTTGTTCATTGATCATTTTCTGAGGAACTTCTATGTGCCAGGTAGTAAGTTCGGCATTCTGGAGCAAAAAAGATGAATCAGAAACAGAGCTTGCTTACCTTCATGCAACATGGTGGTCTAGTGATAGAAATGAAGTCTTCCCAGAACTATATGAAATTCAAAGCAAAATGTGCTAAGTGCCATAAAGGAAGAACAGGTAAATCAAAGAGAAATTTAAAAGGGCAAAGAGATTGAACAGGGAAGACTTACAATGGCATTGGCATTTAAGGTGGGATTTCATGGGTAGGTGGTTAAAGATGAGTTGACCCCACAACCAAAAACACAGACTATATGTGGACCACAGTTACTCTTGGGATGGCTGTTCAAATAAAGGCCTTTATCTTTCTTTCATTAACATAAAAGAAGCAACCCTCTTTCCTGCCCTGCACCCAGGAGTGGCTGTTACTGTTGTTAAAGGCAGGTCTGCAGTGACTGTTTGACGCCCTTTCCTTGTCTGTGAAATGTTTAATAGAAGACAGACAAGATCATTAGCAAACCACACACCATAGAAAATGGCTTTCAAATGTTATTCTTTTCCAAATGCCACTTCCAGCTCCTGGTCAGTGCCTAGGGAAATTGATGGAGCCCTTCGAGCAAATGATCCAGAGGTTTCTCTGAGGTCTCTATTTGAGACCTGCCCAGTTGAGGTTGTCAATCTAAGCACTTTCCACTAAAATTCTTCAAATTCAGAAACTGGTTTAAAAGCAGTGGGTCCTTATTGATGGTAAAAAAACACTACCGCTTTAAATTACTTTTTGCTTTCAAATTCATTATCTTTTTTTAACTTGCAGAGCAATCCTACAGGTTAGGAAGACAGGAACTATTATTATAATCATTGTAATGGATGAAGAAAATTGAAATCCAGAAAGCTTAGTAACTTGCCAGGAATCACAGTTAATGGACATAAATAGGATGTAACTTTCAGTTTTCAAAACCCCAGTCCTGTATTCCTCCGCACCACATCACCACATCACCAAGCCTTTCTGGCAAACAGATGGGACTATAATCGGAGGTATTCGCCCAATTACCTGCATCAATTGTTCACTGTATAAATGACAAACAACAAATAAGAAAGTCTGAGGTTTAGAAAAAAATTGAAAACCAGTGCTATTCTCAGTGTTTCTCCTTCCCTCTCTTCCCTGAGCAAGATGATTCCAGAATTAGAGGCTTTGATGGGAACTCTCCTGGCCATGCATTATTAGCTACCCATCCTTTAACTGTAGTTGGCCTTCTGGGCTTTATGAGAGACGCTACACCATTCATCAGATGTAAGTTGATGAGTAGGCTTTTTCAAATGGCCAGAAATAAACACATACTAAATGTAATATTAGTACATTTTTTTGTTTATTTGGATCTTTTGTTTGTTTAAGAATATGCAGAGAACTTGGTTTTAATTGCTGCAGATCCCAGCCTCAGGTAGATAGAGCATTGCTCAAGATCTGGGAGACCATTCCCGTGACTAGCCTTTGCGGCTGCATCAGCAGTAAATGTCCACTGTCTCTCTCTGATATCTGTCGTTACCATGTCTCCTGTCACTCATTCTTCTGCAGCTACCTACAAATTCCCAGCTAGTCCTCTTCCTTGTTTACTCACAGTTTGGTACTGATGTCTCCCATCACCTCAAATTTCTAGTGACTCCCTTTTTCATTCACTATGCTTTCTGCCCTCACTACTAATCACTGTCTCTCTATGTACCCTACTCAAGTTTGCTGAGCTCAAATATAGTTGGTTCGTTGGTGATTAACATGCCTGTGGCCTGATCTGTTATGCTAGGCTGTCATCTGTCCTTGAGCCAGGCACCCATCCCTGGCTCTGTCAGCTACAAGCAATCTGCTAGAATCACATGGATCACTGTCCCATAGGAAGTAATGTTTCATAAACTCCTTTCCAATAAAATTAAAAGGAGGGTGGAGAATATCTGCATTATGAATACTATATTGAGGAAAATGGGCCAGGAGAGCAAAATACTGGAGAAATCCTAACACCTTGAAAACAATATCCACCTTCAAGGTGATTGGGCCTGATCCACTGTAGAACTGCCAAAGGAGCCATAAAAGACTATGACATAACAGAGAAATGAGAATAACAAGACAAAGCTAACAGTTTCATCAGAGGAGAGAAAAATGATGCATTACCTATTCTTTGTATGAGTGGCATCGGTAAGTGAGAAGGACATAGGCTTTGGAAATAAATGCACATGGTTTATACTCCTGTCTGCACAGTTTCCTATTTGAGCAGCCTTAGGTAAGCTTTAATTAATTTATTTACCTTGGCATTGAGAATATAATACTTAATTTGTATGTCAGTTGGAAGGATAAATGAAATAGTATATGGAAAGTGTCTGGCATATAGTAAACACTCAGGAAATGGGATTTAATAGTCTACTTGTACCCTTCAACAGGGAGTGAAAGACTTCATTATTTACGCTCCTATCTCATACTTGGTAAGTACTTGATAAGGATGGAAATTCTTTTGATATTTATATTCGCTTGTGTAAGTAAATGGTTAATTATTTCAAATAATTTGCACAGTGAGTTTTTCAAGTGGGTGTATGTGTGAACACAGTGGAGTCTCTGAAGCTCCTTGGGGACAATAAAAATGTATGGAGAAAAATAATTCTGAAAGTACTTTTTATCTACTTTTTTTTAAGAAAACTGTATTATATTTTCAATCCAAAAGAAATGTTTACACATTATGAAAATATGTTGAAAAAATGGAAGTGTAAAGAGTGAAGAAAGCAAATTACTCAAGAGTTCCTCTCACAAAAGAAAATATTGTTAGTGAGACAGATATTTCTTTATAGTTCTTCTACCCTCTGAGCATGCTTTAATATTTTGTTTTATATAACTACTATCTTACTAAATATACAGTTCCTTATGCTAATTATTTGCCTTTAAAATAATGCCATATTTTCTATGTCATGTAAGTTTTTCACATTGAATCATATTTAATATCTGTATAGTTCCCCTGTAAGTGGATGTGTATTAATTTGATTCCATCTCTCTTTATAGACAATGGGCAGTTAGGATCTTTTCTTTTTTATTGTTTTATTTTTTTTGGCTATAATAACTAATGCTACAATAAAAAAAATAATAATTGCATATACCTTTTTCTATATCTTCAATTATTTCATGAGGCTAAATTATAGAATCAATATGTCTTCTTGGGAATTGAAAGCGTACATTCCACCATATCTGTGATAGCATTACATACTTTGATTTTTTGCTCTTCAAACTTCATAAGTCTCCTTGTAAGGATCTTGGGGTTCTGTGTAGCTTCGGTGATTCTTCTGTTTCTCTGAACCTTCTACCCATTGCCCTTTCTATCCAAAGAGGTCATACAGAAAGAAAAAAATCTGTTCCTGCTTCCATATGGCAGTCCATGAGATATCTAAGGACAGTTATCATGTCCTGGGACTTCTTCTTAGCAATAAGAATAAATGCCTCAAACTGTGACTATTTTTCAGGAAAATACAAGTTTATAACAAATGATCCTAAACTTTTTGAAGGAAGTCTTTAATTTGAGCACTGGGATTCCTAGGGAAAAAAAAAATCTATGTCCAGTGCTTTTCACTGCTGCCTATCTCATAGGTTCTCTGTGGAATAAATAACACTCTATTTCCTAGTGGAACACAGAACCAAAACAAAAGATTCTAAACAATAATAACAATAACAATAGCAACCAGGATGATGATAATAGCTAACATTTGACTGCTTACTATGTGCATTGCTCTAAACCCTCAAATAATGTTATGACATTTACATACAAACTATATATAAATAGAGTTAAATCCATTTGTTTCAAAAGTGATTAAGGAGAGAAAGAAAAAAAGAAGGGACTCCATATTCCTTAAGCCCAGTTAGGTTGCTCTATGTATTTATTGCCTATATTGCCTATTGCTGCTGTAACAAATTACCACAAACTGAGTGCTTAGAACAACATAAATTTATTACCTTACAGTTCTGAATGACATACTCCAGTATGGGTCTCAGTGGGCTAAAATCAAGGTGTGAACATGGCTGTATTCCATTCTGGAGGCTCTAGGGGAGAATCTGTGGCTTTGTCTTTTTCAGTTCATGGAGGCCGCCTGTATTCCTTAGCTCTTGGCCCACTTTCTCTGTCTTCCAAGTCAGCAGCCACAGGTGTAGTCCTTCTCACTTTCCAGCTCTCTGACATTTCTTCCACTGTCCCATCTCTCTTTCTCTCTTATCACAGCTGGAAAATATTCTCCACTTTTAAGGACCTGTGATTAGATCAGGGCAAGTGGCTAACCTATGGAAATCTGCCCATCTTAAGGTCTGTAGAGCTCATCACATCTGAAAAGTCCCTTTTACCATGTAAATTTCCTAGAATAGGAGATGAACATCTTCAGGGTTCCAGTTCCTGCGTATGACAAGCAAATATGCAATTTCATTTATACTTCCCAGGAAACCCCCAGGCAAATGTATTTGTTACTTAACAAATTACCCTAAAATTAAGTGATTTAAAAGACTATCTTAGGGTCATGGGTCTGACTGAGGTATAGCTGTGTCTTTTCTTTCAGCATGTCTCACAAGGCTGTAATCAAGTCTTAGGCTGCAGTCTCATCTGAAGGCTCAGCTGGGGATGGATCTGTTGTCATACTTACAACATGTTTATCAGCAGGAATTAGTACCTCATAGACTTTTGTGACCTGTTCCACCTACCTGTTAGCCAGGTCCTGTCCATGAGGCTTTCTCCACAAGCAGATTTCTTCTTCAGAGTGAGTAAACAGGGAGAGTGAGAGAAAGTGTCAGCAATATGGAAGTCATAGTCCTTTATAACCTACTCTCAGGAGTGACAGCCCATCAATCTTGCCACTTTCTGTAAATTAAAGGCAAATCACTAAATCATGAGATCTAGCCCACATACAAAGAGAGAAGATTACATAAATCAAAGACTTGAATGTAAGTCATGAAACCATAAAACTCTTAGAAGAAAACTAGGCAAAACTCTCTTGAATATAAACATAAGCAACTTTTTCCTGAACATATCTCCTCGGGCAAGGGAAACAAAAACAAAAATAAACATGTGGAACTATATCAAACTAAAAAGCTTCTGTACAGCAAAGGACACCATCAGTAGAACAAAAAGGCATCCTACAATATGGGAGAATATATTCATAAATGACATATCAGATAAGGGGTTAATATCCAAAATATATAAAAACCTCACATACCTCAACATTCAGAAAAGCAAATAACCCAATGAAAGAATGGGCAAAGGATCTAAACAGACACTTCTCCAAGGAAGAAATTCAGATGGCCAACAGTTTGGATGGCCAACATCTAAAAGACAAGCAACAACAAATGCTGGAGAGGATGTGGAGAAAGGGGAACCCTCCTACACTGCTAGTGGGAATGTACATTAGTTCAACCATTGTGGAATTCAAAATGGAGGTTCCTCAAAAAACTAAAAATAGAAATACCATTTAACCCAGGAATTCCACTCCTAAGAATTTACCCTAAGAGAACAGGATCCCAGATTCAAAAAGACATATGCACCCCTATGTTTACTGCAGCACTATTTACAATAGCCAAGACATGGAAGCAAGTGTCCATCAGGACATGACTGGATAAAGAAGATATGGTACATATACACAATGGAATATTATTCAGCCATAAGAAGAAAACATCCTACCATTTGCAAGAACATGGATGGAACTAGAGGATATTATGCTCAGTGAAATAAGCCAGGTGAAGAAAGATAAGTACCAAATGATTTCAGTCATCTGTGGAGCATAAGAACAAAGCAAAAACTGAAGGAACAAAACAGCAGCAGACTCACAGAATCCAAGAATGGACTAACAGTTACCAAAGGGAAAGGGGTTAGGGAGAGTGGGTGGGAAGGGAGGGATAAGAGGAGGGTTAAGAGATATTATAATTAGCACACATAATATAGGTGGGGCACAGGGAAGGCAGTATAGCACAGAGAAGACAAGTAGTGACTCTATAGCATCTTATTATGCTGATGGACAGTGACTGTAATGGAGTATGTGGTGGGAACTTGATAATAGGGGGGAATGTAGTAACCACAATGTTGCTCATGTGAAAACTGAACATAAGACTGTATATTAATGATACCTTAATAAAAATAAAAATAAAAACAAATAGAACAATTAAAATATATACATATATACATTCATATATATGTAGCATTAAAAAATGAAAAGAGGAGATTACACAAGGGGATGACTATCATGAAGAAGGGATCATTGGGAGCCATTTTAGAAGCAACCTAGCACAGTGTTTGCATCAGTTAGCTATTCCTGTGTAAGTCTGGGGAGAGGAAATCCTGGGGCAAAATACCTCTAAAAACCTATATCAGTCAAAGGTAGAAATAAAGTTTAAAATCCATTTATTACTTACAAACTGCAGTCCAGGGCCCTCTCTTTCCTGCTCCTGCAGAAGCAAAACTGGCCCTTCCCCTCACCTCTCAGGTACAGATAAGCCCTCTGTTGCCCAGGTAATTACCCATTGTTATGGAGATGAACTTCTCTCCACCCATGAGGAATGATGCAAATGCCCTAAAGCCATACTTCTCTCCACCCCTGAGTGCCTGTTGATATGCAGATATACTAAAGCCAGGGGAGATAGTCTGGAATTATTACAATTTTACCCACATGCTGCATAACAAGTCACCATAAAACTCAGTGGCTTAAAGTAAAAATTATTCCTTCTAATTAACATGTCTGTGGATCAACTGGGGCACAACTTAATATCTCTGATTCAAGCTGCAGTTCCTACTGGGCCTTATTCTTTCCTGTGGACTGGGTGTAAGTTGCTTCACTAGAGCCAAAGATGAAGAGGCTTAAAAATCTTCAGGAAGTCCTTCTCTGGGAAATAGCAGAAGTGCAAGAGGAAAGAGAGCCATGTGATAACTCTTAAGATTATCACACTGCAAATCCCCCTCCATATCCTATTGGCCAAAGTAAATCTTATAATTAAACTCAAAGCAAAAGAACAGGAAAATATATATCCCACTAGATTTTCCTTTTGTGGGTGCAACTGCAGTCATAAGGCAAAGGTCAAGGATACAGGAATAGTTGAAGAATTAGGACTAATATTTCTGCCTCCCATAGCATTGTTACCCATATTTTACAGATACAGAAATTATGGTGCAGAGAAGCTAGCTGAAATGCCCAAGGTCACAGAACTCAAGATCCGATGTGTCAGTTCAAAATTCATTTTCCATTGTTTTATACCACAAGACCTCAAGATGTATTCTCTGAATCGTTTCTTTCCAAATAAAGGAGTTTACAAATTGGCATCTAAAAATTCCTTTTGCAAACAGTCATCAGAAATTCCATTTTGCATTTCTGCCTCCTGTTTCACTTTATTAGCCTAAATTTGTAACATGGGCAGGAGCATGGAGACAAAATTGGCTCTGAAAATGAGAAAATGGATTTTCTTGCTATGCCTCTGCATTACAAATGGTCCCAGTCCATGGCAATCATGACTGCACCTGGAACAGTGCACAGGCCCCATGAATAATCCATGTTCCTTACACGCTCCTCCCTGCAGGGCTGACTCAGCGACTACTCTCCTACTTTCTGCAAAGCAACAGCGGCGTATAGGTCAGGTGAAGTGTGAGGATGCAGCAACACCCGGAACGTCTGGCTGGATCTGGGAGGCAGACAAGGGACTTAAAAATCTAATTAGAGTTTAAACAGACTGCAACACTTCTCTTAGAACAATCCATTCCCTTCAAGATTCAATCTAGACTCCTTTATGTGGTCCACAGGAGCTTTTATGATTTCACCACTACCTATCCGACCAGACCCTTGTACTCCCATTGTCTGACCTTTAACTTAACCCCTTTTCCCATCCCCCAACCCTCATACCAGCTATACCTAACTATTTGTATTTTCCCCAAAGCAAACATATTATCTGCAATCTTTTGCATTATTGGTCCCTTTTCCTAGAAAACTCTTACTCCCCTTTGTCCCTTATCTGAATTTAATTCCTCCTTTCAGGACTAGCTCAGGGGTCACCTTTTGCAGAAAACCTTTCCTAACCTCAGTCTCACCCTAGTGTCCTGCTCTCTTGGGGTTAGAGGCTTCTTATCTATGAAACGTTTTGCTCTTACAGTCTTTATCAATCTAAATTAGAATCACCTCTTTATTTGTTTTCAATCCCACAAACATTGAGCCCTTTAAAACTAACAGTCTTGGTTCTGAATTCACATTGTTCTTGGCACAGTGCCAAGCAGTCATTAAATGTTTGCAGAAGAAAAGATTGGGAAAGAAAGGAAAAGGGAAAATAGGAAAGGAAGGATGGAAAGAGGAAAGGAAGTAGGGAGGAAGAGAGAGAGGGAAGAGGGAAGGAAAAGGTAAAAAACTAGGATTGTGTAAGGGAGATATTTCTTAAATTGCATATGGCAGCATAACTATAAGGAGCTGTATTCATTTTCACCTGGAAAATGCTGACACAGGGCTTACTGTTCTCAAGACAAGCCTGTGTTTCCTTAAAGCCTTTTACTCAGGTAGCTCAGACCCACTGAAGTCCTTTGTAAATTGAAGCAAGATAAGTTTTTAAAGAGTAGAACCTCTTAGCAAGTTCCTCAGTGTGCTCCAGTGTGATCAATAACCAATCCAGGTGACAAATTAATGTTAAATACAGTTTGAAGAAAGGCAAGAAAAAATGTAGTAGGAGAGGGCTAGAGAAAAGTCTCTGTAGAATTGTGTTCTCACAGAATGCGTAAGGACCCTGCTGGGATTCTGTGAGTAGGACACACGGGGGCTAAGATGGACTGTGGGTTGGTGTGGAGATGATCGGTAATCTGACAGGTGGGAGGACCCTCCGGAAACGAAGTTCTCTTTTCTGCTGTAGAAATTGGATTCCCAAATCAATCTGAACAAGAGTTTCCAGGTAATAGTTCCAAATGCCTATCTCTGCTGTTTTCGCTTCAACACCATGACTGACTATGATTGCTTGATGGTTTTGAAGCTGCCTTTACACTCTAATAATTGCTTTTCCAAATTGCAGCTGAGGCATTAGCATACCTGATAAGGCTCTTAATTGAAGTCTTAGTATAACTACTTGGAAAACACATCCTTGGAAAGAATAGTTTGAATAGAAGATAGATCAAATATATTCTGCAATTATTCTTTTCAGTCACTATGATAAATGCTTCTCCCTACCTTCCCACCTTCCAAAAAAGTCAACAACTTTATGGTAGTAAGGCTTCAAAGAGTTGCTAAATCTCTAAAACCTTTGCTTTTCTTAAAAAAAATGTTTTATTTTTTGCTGTGATATCACTTAGCATATAGCTGAAGAGAATTGCAGTTGTTATGAATTAGGGTTGCCAAGTTCCTGACCCTTGCCCCGACTTTGAAACAGTATTTATATTTGAGTTGAAACAGCAGTGAACTTAAACCAGCTTACTAGCTGAAATCCTTTGAGCCTCAGGATTTTTCTTTTGTAAAAGAGGAGAAATAACTTCCTTTTACTGAACTGTTGTGAGAATCTAATAAAATTTGGTGAATAAAAAACAAAGCAAAAGCTAAACTCTTCTGTAAGGTTGGGGAACTATGGATCAGAATTATAATTGTGGATTGGAATTAGTTGAATGGAGCCAGAAAACAAAATGTATTAGTTTCTCCTGGCTGCTGTAACAAAATACCATAGATTGTGTGGCTTATATAACAAAAATTTATTTTCTCACAGTTCTAAAAACTGAAAGTCCCGGAGTAAGTCCAGCAAGGTTTGAGTTCTGATAGAAGTTCTCTCCCTATCACCTCTGTTCTCACATGGCCTTTCCTCTGAGTGCAGAAAGAGTGTTCTCTGGTGTCATCCGTCCTCTTCTTATAAGGACACCAGTCCTATCAGTTTAGGGCCCCATGCTTAGGACTTGATTTAACCTTTATCATCTCATCACAGACCTTCTCTCCAAATACAATTGCATTGAAGGTTAAGGCTTCAACATTCGGATTTGGGGGTCATGAGTTTTCAGCCCATAAAACACAGGTTACCAATAGACTCCTCTTCAAAAGTATCTTCTTTTACCATTTACAGAAATCAGACATGGTTTTGGGTTCCACTTATCATGTTTTACACTGGTTAAACATCAACCTCAAAGACATTTCACTGCAGAACTAATACCTGTCTCTTCCCTGTATCTTCTACAACTCTCCTCTCCACTAACACTTAGCTAATGGTTACTTGTCTGTTTCTTTTAGGGGTGGAGGTTCCTCTAGGTCAGAAGCCATATATTATTTTCCATTTTACATAGCCAAATCATTGAAGATTCTCAATATGATGTGGTGAAAACATGACTATTTTTAACTTTTTTTCAATTAACACCTTCAACTTCATTCTGATAAATCACCCTTTCCAGTTTCTTTACAACATCTTGGGAGATTTTCATTTCTAATCATTTTTCATGACAATGTACAGCTTAAGTCTTTAATTTCAAAACTGATTTGAAACTTACCTCTTCTCCTTTTCCCAACTAAACCTTGCGCTGTGATCTTACATACCAGAGTAGGAGGTCAGAGATGAAGCTGGGTAGCCTGGGCTGTGTAATCCATGCAGGGAAATGGCATAGCTCCATGCAGAATATGGAATGCTTAACTCCAGGGAGCAAGATTCATACAGTCACTGTAAGACCCGCTCTGCCTATGGTTGTCCAGGACACAATATGCACAACCACTGAAGGGAGCCCTGAATGCATACTCTTCTCTTCCCTCTTCCAGGTTTAATTATTCTTGGGTTTGGTAAGAACACAAAGAAAAAGAGAGGAAGTAGGTGTCATATATAACTCATCACATTTGATAATAAATGTAAAGGGATCCCATCTATGGCCTTACACTGATTTTGTCTGGTGCATCTTTCCACAAATAATAATAATAACAAGTATAATAAATAATAAGTATAATTATAATGATGAAATGCTTCTTGAGTACTCACTACCAGACTTCACAAACTCTAAAATATGTTCTTTCATATTCCAATATTTTCTGAACTGCAGTGTAGTTTATAATCGATAATGTATCACAGTTTAATTGTAAGCATTTTTTTTCTAAGTGGTACATAAAAGAATGGTGAATGCAACAGCCAATGGCCTCTGAGAACTGAGGAAATGCAGAATATGAAAGACACAGTTCTAAGCACTTTCCATGTACTAACTCATCTAATACTTGCAGTACCTATGAGATCAACTATGACTATAATCCCACTTTACTGGTGAAGAAACTGCGATAACAAGGCTAAGCAAGCTGCCCACACCACTCACACCTAATAGGTGGAGAACACAGTGAACTTTATGTAGATGGGTACATTGTGGGCTCTTTTGGAGTGGCATTTGACTTCTTCCTCACCTCTTACACCTCTGAAGAACACCTCAGAAAGGGACAGCAATGTCTCCTTCAGCCACAGCAGTAGAACATTCCCCAGCCGTCCTCTCTAGGTGGATGTCTCCCTCCATGCTTGGCAGTCTCCTGGACACCTCCACCCTCTTGCCATCGCTCTCCTTTTGGGGCTCTTTGACATGGAGCCACATGAGCTGCTATGGTCTTCCTTTTCACTGTCCTTATGACTGGACAGCCAGTATTCTATTCCGTCTTTCCTTGGCTTCATAGTTCACTTGGCTTCAACAAACACCCTATGTCCAGGAAATCCTGTAAAGAAAAAAATAGCATTCTCTGTACCAAGTAAACCTCTCGCTTCTCAGGTTCACTCATCAAACACCCTCAAAAACTTTCCACCAGTTTCCACAGATAACATCTAAATAAGGCTAAAGTTTTTTCAGCTTAGTAAGTTCACTCATCCAGGGAGCAAAATTTCATTCCCCACATCTCGGAGCATCTTCAAATAGTTCCTTAGATTTCCTTCTCATTCTCACCTCCACTCCTAGCTTTCAGATGAATGGCTTCACCACTGGGAGGCACGCACCCTTCTCTGTATCCGCTGCCCTGGCACTCTGAACACAGCTCTGTTCTAAATTCACAGTTGTTTCTTTACCTGGCTCCCCAAACCATGAGCTCTGGAAGGCAGGACCTGTGCATTATTCTTTAGGTTCCCAGTTTGTAGAACAGTGCCCACTGCATGAAAACCACTTAGTAAGAGTTTTGTTGTTATTGCTGCAATTTTTAGTGAATGAATACCCCCCACTGGATGCTGAACCCAACCAGCTACATAACCTTAAGGGATTTTCACATCTCAGAACCTCAGTTTTTCCCTCTGTAAAGAAGAGATAATAATAACAGCTGCTTCCCTGAGCGCACTATCATAATATCACTAATACAAACACAATGGATGCATTTTGTTCCTTTTCTTTACTGGCCCTTTTCAAATCAGCACTATTGATAACTACATCTTAAAACTCTCTGCTCTCTTCTTTTTTATTTTTGTATTTCCTATCTTATTTCATTTCATCACAGCTACAGAGTCACCCAAGCCAGAAACCTGGATGTGATCTTTGAGTCTACCCTCTCCCTTATCCACCACTTCCAATCAATTACCTCTCAATCAATTACCGACCTATCATACACTTTGACTTTTAAATATTTCCTTTATTTTCCCATTGACTCTAGCCTAGTATAGGCCACCATCACCCCTTGGGTTATTACATCATCATATCAGCAAATAACTCATCTCTCTACTTCTCACTCTCACCTACTCCAATCCATTCTCTATGCCAGTGTCATAAATCTGACCATGTCATTCTGTCCCTGGAAATGCTTCATGGCTCCTTGCCCTTTATTAATGGCTGACATTCACTGAACACTTGCTACCTGACTAACAAACAACTGTGAGGTAGGTATTGTTATTATTCCCATTATGCAAATGAAGGATAACAACTCGGTAGGCTATCAGTATTTCAATTGATTTCAAGGTTCTTAATAGAAGTATATATCTCTATATGATATTGCCCCTACTTGACTTGAAAGTCTTGCCTTAAGTCTCATGTTTCAATAGTACCAAACTGCTTTCCTGCACATTCCATGCTCCAACTTGACTCAGAGTCTTTGTTCATGCTGTTTGCATGACTGAAATTTACTTTCCAGGCAAGCCCTCTTCTCTTTTCCTAGCCTCTTCTGCCCCCCAAGGGGATGAATTCTTCCTGCTCAGTGTCTGAGATTCCCATTAAGTATATTTGTCACTGTATTTACTATGATAGATGACAGAGAGAGAGAGCTATATAGATATATATGTAAATTTGTATACCCCTTTTTCTCCCAACATAGAGATAATAATGACTATAAAACAGTACTAATAATATTGTACTGCTAATAATAATAATGTGTCAGTCAGGGAATGATGACACAACCTTAAAGTGTGCATGTGTTAATTCCTAATGAGGTTAACTTAAACCAATGATATCAAGGAAATTGGAGCAAGCCAAGAAAATGAAATCTCTCTCTTTCTCATTTCTTCTGGAATGTTCTGAGGCCTGGGATCTTTGTATAACCTGACTGGAAATGTTTCATGAGACCAAGTGTACCCAACTCCTGAGAGATCTGGGACACATATTTGTGGCATTTATAAAGCAATGAATAATGAATAACATCACCTTGCCTTGCTTGCCAACTCCCAGAACATGGAATATGCATTGAGTCAAAAAACAATACATGACATTGTATCTCAACAGCTAGAGTACCTAGGTCAAGTATGAAGAAGTGAAAGTAGGTATGGCTCCTCACATCCAGGGACCCACTTACAGAATTTTGCTTCCCATCCCAAATGTTCTTGGAGATGGGATACACATCCACCAAGGAACTCAATAATGGAAAGTCACAAACACTGTGACTGACCCAGCTACTTTAGCCTATCCTTCCAGTGGATGAATAAGCAAAGAAAACAGTTACTACATGATGAGGGCAGCAGGGAAGAAAGACCATATATAGAACTTGAGAAATACACTGAAGGGTCTTTAAATATTTCCATGCTAAGTAATAATCGTTGATGGGTAATGACAGTAAACATAACCCAACAAGATCCCTTAAAGGTTAAGATCCCTTAACTGCCTAAGGGTTAAGGGATCATTCCTATCAGGGATGAAGGCCTGCTTATCCCACTAGGCAACTAATGGGACTAGCTGCTGCTGAACGATGAGGAAAATCTAGACTGATAAAGGATGGATCTGCATTTCTCAAGAACAGTCCCTAGTGAGCACCTACCATGTACCAGAATTCTTCACATCTTTTAGCTCATTTAGTGCTCCAAATTGATATAGGATCATTACTATACATTTATAGATAATAAAAACTGAAACCAAGAGAGAGAGAATGGAATCTCAGAATGGACATTTACCTAACTTGAGTTAGAAAACAATGCTGAGTAAATTATTTAACATATCTGAACCTTTTAAATGATGGTAATTAACAGGAAATGCCTTTCTTAAAGGATTATTGCCAGGGTGAAAAGCAAATTATGCTATAGATGCTATTTTCCATATATTGATGAGGAAATTCAGATTCAAAATATAAGTTTTAATAGTGCTATGTAGCATCTGTCAATGTACTACAAATTATATGGTACAACTGTTGAAACAGTCTCTGAAGCAACTGCCTGCACAATTTATACTACACCTTACTGTGGATATTTGGGCAAAGGCAAAGAAGAGTTTTCAGGTGTCCTAATTTTGGTCTGCTGTGTTCTCACAACACAATTGCAATGGCAGCTGGTAGGAATCAGTAATGAAAAGTATGTTTTCAAAGGCTTGAGTAACCTGTCGCTTTTCAAAGGAGGCCAGAGCAGATGAGAGCATCAGTGTGTTAATGTGAACATAAAGTTTTCCATATTAATAAGAAGCCCTTGGCACTTGATAATCCTCCAAGGACTTTCATTTCTGTTGATGGGTAATACGTAAGGTTAATTATGTATACTAGATAAAAGAGTAATAGTGTGTGTGCAAATGATGCTGACATGCCTTCATTCAAATCAAAAAGCATTTGTGTTGTTAAGAGTAAGGTCAAAGGAAGAACCAATAAGAGCAGTGAACAACAACACAATCACAACAACAAAAATTATTCACTTAGTAGGTGCAGGACTCAGGCTAAGAACATAATGTAGAATTTTGTGTAAGAAGTGTAAGGGCAACCTTACACACATGCCCAGACTCTTGTACTTCTAAGCACCCTTACCTTCTCTAAGAATATTATGAATGGTTGAACATTTTTTGGAGGAACATGCTCATTAAGCATGAAATGTGGAATGTGATACATACATAGTTGGGTCTTATGATGTTTCATCAAAGGACAGTGTTGAGAAGGGACTGAAATTCAAGAAATCCTGTAGGTTTCACTCAGGTTTCACTGGCTCACATAGGTGCACAACTAGAATTCTAAAAAGTGAAGCTACATGAACAAACCCACAGAGATTAGATTTCCCAAAGGGGGTTCAGTCCCATTTGTCTAAGCATGGGAAATATGTGTGGAAATGTTGTTTTTGGTAAAATTGCAAGAGGACTTTGAATGCTTTGTGGGCATTTGTGAATATTTAGTAGGCTATGAAGATTAACTAAGATTCTTGACCAAATTGCATGATGTGAAATATATTTTAGGAACATTAATCTTGCCACAGTGTGTAGGGAGAATTGGAGTGAAATATGCAAATAAATAGGACAATCAGTTAAGAGATAAAAGTACTATAGACTATACTATAGTCCAGTACTATACTACAGTATAGACTCATTTATTTTATTCTCAGTTCTCATGTAATGTTATGGAAACCTGGGGTTGCCAGATAAAAGACCTCCAAATAAAAAGTAGGTATCCTTCCCACTCTCAGAAGATCTCATGATAAAAGGGAAGGATAAAGAATTCTGGGTAACAACATTGTTGCATGACAGAAATTGCTGGATGTCATCCAATAAACATTTGCCCCACTCCTTTCATTTCATTCTTTGCCCCCCTCCATTCTTTTCAGGGTAAAAGAATGAACCCTGAAATTATTTGAGATATTTATCAATGAATCTAGCTTAAAGACAGCATTTCCTAGACTTCTTGCAGCTGAGTGGTTAATTTTAAAAGACCTGGATAACGAGAAGAAAGTACAAAGCAGGAAAGCTGCCAAAGGAAGCCAAATTTCTAAAATGTATTTCACATTATGCTATTTTATTTGTCAAGAATCTTAATTAATCCTCATAGTCTACTGAACTTTCACAAATGCCCATAGCCCTTTCTTCCTGCCCTGCTTCTTCCTTGCCACCAGCCTGGAATGCAGATGTGATATTGTTCCAGCAGCCATCTTGGACAGTGAGGTAACCTTAAGAATGAAAACAATGTGCTAACAGTATTGAAGTAAAAAATGGGCTGAGTGTCTTGTATAAGAGACAACACCTCTCTTGTTTAAGACACTATTGTTTTGAATTTCCTATTATGTACAACTGAATCTAATCTTAACTGATACTGCAACTGTGCAAAAACAAACCTTGGGAACCTGGAATTTACATGCTACTTCCTTAAGGTATTTACTAGGGAACAGTCCATGTTAAAGAATCCTAGACATATTATCTAGCCTAACCTCCCACCTTTTATGGGACTGCAGCTATGAAATCTACTCTGCACAACCTCCCTCAAGACATTGTTTTCAATTCTGTTTCCTAAAAATCTCAACAACATACTCCTTCCTTCCCATTCCTACCACCATTGCCTTAATTTGGTTCCTTATCTTT